GACTAAACCACCAGGTCCACATGGGTTTTACTGTGATCTCGTCTGTTTTCCAAGAACCTTTAGGTTCTACGTTCTGCTATGGTTGAAGTTGGTCTGGGGTTAAATTCCAGTAATTCTACTAAAATGAAGTATGGCAGCCTTGAAAATAGGCAGATAGATAGTGTTCGCCATACAACAAGGTAATTGCAGGGGAATTAATCTAGTCTTAGCCTTATATGATAATATAACGGAATAATATAATTTGGACTATTCCGGCAGGCCCACCAGGCCGTTGTTTGATCATGCTTGCCCTGGGCCTATAACTTAACCCCATGTTGCTCCTGACAGTTTTGTTGATAGTCTGTGAACATGGCGGAACCTTTGCACATCTTTATAGACGTTGTAAATAGGTAGTCTATAATTAAAGACCCATTATTTTACTAACAATTTATGACTGAATTTGTCCAAATAAATAACCTTTTCATCAGGATTGTACCTAAATACTGGATAATTAAGCATAAAACAAAACCCAGAAATTCCAAACCAGCTTTGCGTTTCTCCTTTTCAGTTTTATCCGTGACTTTTACGACCTATTTATCGCCATATCCTGCTATTCCATTACAGTAAACTATAATTAACTTCAGTCGAGAGCAACAACCAGTGTTTCCTGCAAATGCAATTATCATCAGGGGCCTTATAAAAGAAACCATATCATTTTAGCAGTGAATTGCAGCATTTATGGCTAAGACTAATGGAAATGGAGCATATTCTATGAGAATGCATGCTGATTTTAAAGGTCCATCAAATTAAATTACCACAACAGCAGAATTGTGTATTTATTATGTTGTGCTTTAGGATGCTTTCCTCCTATTAGCACCAATGTTTGTTTCATGAATGTGACTTCAGCACACATAGATTAACCTCTTACTGACAGTATTGTGCAAGTTCAAGCGTATACAAAAGCATTAGCACCAAAGGAGATCATTCCTATTTGCATTATGGGGTTTATATGATTTCCTAACACTGTTTTCTGTACAAGCAGTGTGTTGGACACAGCAGGAAACAACTGCCAGATATTTTGGTGTTCCATAAGTGATGAAAGGTCTTTGCTTAGGATTTTATTGGAGTTTAACTGCAGTTTTATATTTCGGCCAAGTGTCTCTCTGCTAAACAGTTGAACGCGACCAGATCTACATCATTTGGGTGTCAGCAGTTCAGCAGCAACTTCTTAGTGTGAAACACATGCTTTGGTGCTTTTCAAACTAGTTTACAGACGTGTTAAAATGACGTATTAACATTTGCATCCACAGTAAAGTGTGGTCTCGTTATCTCTGTCTCTGCTGTAGAGATTGAGGCCACAAGGAAAGTGAGAAAACAATTTTATTTTAATTTATTTTTCACACAGAAAAACCCTGGGAAACTACATATAGAGTTCATACCACAGTTATTTAAATTGTCTTATTGTAGTGTAAAAGTATCTAATCTCAAAATTACTTTTTTAAAGGACTCACTGCGGTAACACCAGATTCAGTACAGTGTCCTGGCCTTCTTGCAAGGACAAATCTCACAAACTCACTGTGTGACATTGATTTTTTCGCAACAGTTGATTCCTCTTCGTCTTGATAATTGAAAACCAAACTTAAATCTCTCTGCCTCTTCGGTTCAAGGCAAACCTGAAATTTACGCTTTTCTGTTTTGCTCATTTCTTTTTCCAGTGAAGGGTGAAACGTCTCCTCGATTGAGTCAAGTTGACCAAATCAATACCACTTTTCTTGCACCTATCAAACTACTGCTATAAGTATTGATTTAGCCCAATGTTTCGCTCATAGTCTCTTTTTGCCTTTTTGTTAGTTTCCGTGAAACATGAAGTCCTTTATCTACACACCACAGAAACGGACCGGGCAGTTAAACCTGTTTAGACAACTTGATGACAACACTAGGAAATTGACAATCATTTATTATGGCTCAGCATCCAAATCCAATCATTCTACAATTGATTATTAGTCAATTCCCAATCCCATGTGTGTAATGAGGCTCAGCAATAACACTGCTAAACTATTAAAGCCTGAAATCATAATTTAGAGCTGCGGCATCATGGTTGAAAACAACTGCCTGTACTGTATTTAAAAACCTTGATGTTCTTCTCGAACGTCGCAGCTTTTAGAAAGTGTCCAAAAAACATAACAAAGTGTCTAAACTACAAGGAAACAATATATATATCACAAGATAAAGCAGCTAAACTACATGACAAAGTGTCTTAATTACAGGGATCTTGACTACAAGAACCAAAACCCAAAAATCATCAGTCTTTAGACACAGAGATAGACTGGTTTTCTGCAAATCTGCAAACATAATATCTCTTGTTGATTTTTTTTCTTTTTTTTGCTTTAGATTTCTATTCCCTACTCTATTATATGCTTAAACAACCTCATTGCGGAAAAGTCCAAGTTTCAAGTTGGTTTTCTTTACTTGTCAGGGTTGACAGCTGGAAGTTATTGGCAGATCTCAAATCAGTTATAAAATGCAAAGACGTCCTCTGGTCTGGTGCTCTAGATCACTGAGAGAACATTTATACTAATTCCTACTCTGTTCTGTACTGTGTTGATACCGTATCAATGACACATCTTCCACGACGCGTCTCAAGAAATGTGTTCTTTCTTCAAATATGTTAAATACATTTTAAGGGTCATGTTTCTGGTGTCTTTTCATAGAAAAGTTGAATCTGTGCCACATAACAGTCATACTGATGTGACTAATGGTGACTGATTGATATCAGGGGTGCAGTTATTAATGTTTCTCTATGGTCCTCTCCAGCCCACTCCTTCATTCATCTGCTGCCATGACCTCATTTAATCTCTGAGCAAGACGCTGCTTCTACTTCTTCTTCTTCTTCTTCTTCTTCTTCTTCTTCTTCTCAGAGCCAGAGGATCAAAGAGCGATTTGTGGTTGTGAGCCAGTCATCCTTTATTCAGCCAAGGGAATGTGTGAAGCACAGAGTGAGGGGGGGCAGGGGTGTGGGGGGGCTCTGGGGGGGTGAGGGATGGGGAGTGCTTTAACTCATCTCTCTACTTTGCTCTTCTCATCTTGTTTCTTATCTGCCCCTGTTTTTCTTGTCCGTCTCTGCCTCCCTCTGTCAACTCTCACTCACTGGTCCTACGCCTCATTCCTTGACTCTTTTTCAGGTGTTCTCACCTTTTTCAATTTAGCTGCATGGTCTTCTTAGGTTTGTCTCTCACATCTCTTATCTTTTTTGTCCATCCATCTCGTCTCTTCACTCAAACCCCTTTTTTCATACAGTACACCTCTGACATCCACTTAGACACCCACTGATCCATTACTTCTCTCTCTTACTCTACAGTATGTTCCTCACCGTCATCTGAAGAATGAACAGTGTTACATTGCCCATCATCTAGACACCTGTCATCAGTACAAAATAAAGTTATGTCTCTTTTAAAACTCAGTCTTTACATAGTCATTTTTAGGAATGGCGGGGATACAACTTTTTCTTGTCCGATACCGATATCAATCCGATACATTGTTGTTTTCAGATTTTTTTTAGCCTATTCCAACTTTATTTGCTAAAACTCAACTTATTATTGGACCATGTGTAGCCCCGTTGCAGTTTGGTTGAGGTGAATCCTAATTTTAGCCCCGGTGCGCTACGCAGCACTCTGAGGTCCACCTCCCGCTGTAACTTAAAACCGAGACTGTTTTTAATAATTAACTTTGGATGCTGAGGAGACAGCAGGTAGAGGCCCAAGGTCGCCTGAGTACAACGACCCAAGGTTGTACAGTAATGACAACTGAATCACTTCATTAACAGCTTCAGGATTAGCAGTTTGCTACATTTTCTGTCTGGATCTTTGTTAAAATAACCAAAGCATTATGGGTAAAAACATAATGACATGAAAGTTGTGAAAAACTTCTACTTTCATTCATGTCTTTCCAAAACCTGGACTGTGTTACTGTCTTTTTTTTCTGTTCATTTCAAAAACTAAACCTTAAAGTGTGAATGGAAGTATTTAATGATGCTGCTGACAATAGTGAAAGAGTAAGGAGTCTGTTCTGGGGCTGAATCATTTGTGATGTGGTCTTCATCACTATCAAAGCCATAGCAACACATTGTAGGCCAGATATATGCAAATTGGTTTTGGAGAGAGATGGATGGAATGTGATGCAGGAGTAGAAAAGACACCAGATCTTCGGATTTGGAGAATGAAATTCAGTCCCACCAAAGTGACGAAGTGTGAAAAGGAAATTTGTGTGTGAGTTCACAATTGAAACAGAGAGAGGCGTAAAAAGGAAATGCACTGAAAGGAAAGAATCCTGGAGACACTCATGTTTCTGGAGAGAGAGGGAGAGAAACAGAGAGGGAGAGAGAGTATATTTAAGATATATATATTTCAGTGTATTTAAGAATCACCTAGAGCAGGCATGGCCAACCTGCGGCTCGGGAGCCACATGCGGCTCTTTGCCCGGTTTCATGCGGCTCTTGCATTCATGTGGAATTTTATGTTTGTGTTTTTTTACGCTATGTTGACTCAAATTACTTTTGGGAAACCCAATTAGGACAGATGAAAATGTACACAGGAAGTTTAAAAAGAGTAGGAGAGTTTTTTTTTTTTGTTTTTTTTTTTTTAAGGAATGGGGCAGTTTACATGTGCCCAGGTATATCACGTGGCTTTTTGCAGTAACACAGTCAAATTTTGTTGCTCTTGACTGGTTGGCCACCACTGACCCAGAGCATGATAAAACATGGAGAGATGTTGTGTTTCTTTCTAACTCCCTTCACTTTATAAATAATTGTTACTCTTACCCCCACTCCCTCTCCCCTGCCTTTTTCTAACTTGCCTTCCCCTTATAATATATACTTCTTTTTCTCTCATTATTTCCTTTTTTTCCCCTTCTCTATTCCTCAACTTTTTTTCTATAATTCATGGTGTGTACTTTTTCTTTCTAACAATATCCTTTTTTCCTTTTTCCTTGCTTTCATCCTCCCTGCTATGCTGCTGCGGATCCAGAGAAAGGTAACTGCTCTTTGTAGTGTTGTTCTCCAGTGTCTTCCTCACACTTTTCAAAAACTTCACTGTTTTTTTTGTAATTGTTGTGTCAACTCCAGGAACTCTTTCATGTTGTCATATACTACAATTATATCTGTCACTGCGGCCGTGAAGGAAGTAGTGGAAGCTTCGCCCACGGTCACTGTTGCTCTTTACAGGAAGGTTTCAGCCACTATCCAAGCTTCAAATTGCTGGTGTTAAATCATCAATGAGCCAGACTGGCCACGGGCTATTTCCTATTCACAGTTGCTGCTTTTTTTTTTTTATAGCATTTTGATCCCCCAGAGAGGGAAGGAGGAGACATAAAAGACCCATTTGTAGTAGACCAGGCAAGGCCACTCGTGCTGCTTTGGTGACACACAGCTCAAATGTCCCTGAATAAAGAGCACTGGAGGCATTCACTCTCTCTCTCTCTCTTTCTCTTTTTCTCTCTTTTTTCCCCATCTCTGTTTGTGTTTTCTCTTTTTATCCCAGCCTCCCTCCCCTATCTGCCCTTCCCTCACCGCACTGCTATTCTCACCTCCATCTCCCAAAAGTGCCGCCTGGCTGACTCATCACATCTCCCTCTCAGACACACACACCCACTCCTGCACTATCGCCTACTTCTCTTTTTTGCCACAGGCACCAAACATTATTGACCCAAGTTTGTGAGCAGACAATTAAGCAGAGGAGACGAGTCGGTTAATAGTCTCATAAAGAGTCCGCTGTAGATAAACGCTGCCTTCGTTTGTTATATTTCTGCGTCATGTGTGTCGATAATCTAGAGCGACAACCTAAATCGGAAAACAAAAAACATAAATATTTCTGCGCAGACATCCTCCACTCTCTTACGTCCTTGAATGCTTCTTGTCTGGGTCGTCTTTGTCTGTGTGTTCGTAGCATACAGTGTGCTAGTGTTGCTAATGCTCATTTACTTTAGCTGAAATCTTGAGTGGATTTTAAAATCTTTTCTTACTATTTTCCTTTCCAAAGCTTCCTTTTACATTTACTTAATTTATTCCCTACAACCTACTAACTTCACTTTGACTCTGACCTTTGAAAATGTTACATCAATGTTCTTTTTATTCAAATATTTGACTTTTTTTTTTATTTAACTTTATTTATTCCCATAATTGGTTTGTGCATCCGCTCCATAAGCATCCGCTCCATAAACATGTCAGAACTCAGATATTTATTGATTAATTTGATTTCTTTGTGCAATATAAAATAAATCTAAGCTTTCTAAATCTAGACCGTGAAATAAATTTCCCATTCTTTCTTTATATTTCTTCTTAAAAACCTTGAAGGGAAAAAAAGTACTAATAATTTGAATAATAATAATAATAATTGTATGTAGCCTTGTGTGTGCAACTCTTGAATTATCACTGCTGAGATTTGTTGCTTTTTCCCAACATCACCATTGTTTACTCCTTGTGGTACTGTATGTTGCTAAAAATGATAACGAAAGAAATGGTCTTTCATCTTGTGTGTGCATGTGTACATATGTGTGTTAGCATTTCCCACGTGCAGCTGTGATTCATCTCCCACCTACTCTTGGCATAAATTTTCATTCTCAGTGGAGCATCTTGTCTCATGGTTTCACTCTCATCCTCAGTTTTCTTTGCCATTTCACACAGTTGTGGAACTTGCAGCTCAGTTTCCTCAGGAACTAGGTCACCCATCTCCCTGCCCAAACATGTGTGTGTTTGCTGTTGATGAGGCAAAAATTCTTTAATTTCGACTAAGGATGGAGAGAAACCCACTACTATTTAAGCAAAGTACTAAAATCATGAATCCATGAAAAGGCTAAGTAACTAGTTAGCTAACAGATAACACAACCTAAGCCCACAATTATGGCAGTTTAGAGTTAGCCAAACCATTGAACCTCAACTGAACCTCAAAAGATATCGGTTATCATATAAAATTTAAAATAAAAAAATAAACAAATACTAAAATCAAATTGACCATAATTCTAAATATAGCATTCTGTTGGATGTTAGCCAAAAGCTAGCTGAACAAAGGCCCTTGGGTTAAAAAAGCCAAGTTCCTTCTTTGTTGCTGGGCTATTAAAAATTAATTTAAATGAAGAAGTTGGGTTCTGCATACAAAAAGTCTGTCAAGGTCCCACAGTGCTTGCTGTTTTTTACATAAATTACATCTAAAATGCACAGCTTCAGTAGAGAGCGCAGGCCAAGTTTCTGATTGAAAATGAGCCACTGCCTGATAACACGCACGGAATGGTGAAAAGGTGTAAGAACCGTTGTAATGAAATTGTTCATGGTGCAGGAGGTGAAACTGAAATGAGAACTGAAACACAGAGGAAAGTGTTTCAAATTAGAATTTTCAGACACTGTTGGTAATGTTAAACATCAGGCCAACACGATCAGGAAAAAAACCACTAAAGCGGATGAAAACTAAAATGGTAATATACCCATATATCAACCCTATATGCTGTTGCTGTAGAATATTTTGGATCGTTTTG